TTCTTCTTTTATACCTTACTCGAAAACTTTTACTCTGATGAATCTGTATATGCTTAAGTGTTTTATATGCATTTATTTGGGGTATAGAAGGGGGTGTTACAAAGTCCTACCATCTATAGGAAATGTTTGTATATCATGTTGTCTTGATTTAGTTAATTTTCAGTTCATGAGTTTAATTTTCGTTCTTCGTTTTCTCTATGATATCATGTTTGTTTTTGAAAATGAATGGTGGATTCGTGTTCAGCATGAGATTTGGAGTGGAATAGTGGTCTTGTTGGGCATTTCTGGTTTGTTTGGCATTGCTCTGGTGAGAGTTTGGCCAGAGAAGACGATGGAGCTAGGGCTTCGGGGTCTCTGAGGTTGAAGAAGGATGATGTGGCATCTGGCACCACTTTTTGAATTTAAATAAATTGATATGGCTTGATCTAGTCCGTCCATCTTGGTGAGTCAGTGCCACCTCAATTAATGAGGCTGACCTGGCACGCCACACAATGTTTTTTGTTTGGTTTATAATCTGATTTGGTTTGGATTTTTCCCTTTTTGTTACTCACACCCCACCAATTCTTGGCCCAACATGCTTATAACTGATTCCTTGTTGTTTTTGTTTTCACTAGTACACCCCATTTCCTTTATTCTTTTTTATTTCTTTTATTTTCTTTGCATTTTAACTTTGATTTTATTTTAACACTTAAAACCTTTTTAAAAAAACATCAAAATCCATTTCTGATTCTTTAACATGTTGACTTATTTTTGAATATTTTTATTTTATTTTTCAATTAATTTTACTATTTTATTTTGAATTAATTTGACAAGTACTTTTACATGTTTACCCTTGAACTAGGGTTTGTTGTTTGATGACCTCTGCAACACTTGTTAACCCCATCTTTTTACCATGTTTTGACATATAATTGATGAATTTTTAAATGTTGTTTTTATGCCTTGATGATCATTTCTTGGATGATTCCTAATTGGTTTTGTTTGGCCCTTGAGATGTGCTCGATTAGTTGTATGCTTGAGTTTGTTTGGTTCAATTAATGGTGCATTCATGAAATTCGTTTTGTGATCCTTGGCATATTTGTTCTTAATGTATTTAAATTGAGTTTGAGATCCTAATTGGAATTTATTTGGTTTTGTTTCTATTTTTGGATGTTGCATCAAATTGGTGTTGTTTTGACCTTGACTTTGTGCATGTCTTGACCTAGTTTCTTGAAGTTGTTTCTTGATTGATCCAATGGATGTTTGATGACTCTTGTATGCTTTGGTTGACTTGTTTAAGGTTCTTATCTTCATGTTTAGAGGTTCATTGTATGATCACTTTGTCTCATTTTCTTCACGTGTTCATTTGTTTCTCTTATGGATAGCTTGAGTGATGTTTGCCCAACTTTTTGTGCTTGAACTTAAATATGTTTCTTCTTGAGTTTGGATTTGAATATGATGTGTGTCATTTGAACATGTTTCTGAACTTGATGATATGATACTTGACCATTTGTGTTTTTCACCTTGTTTGAACATCTCCTTTCTTTTAAAAATGACTTTGATGTGTATGTTTGCTTCTTGATGCATGTCCTTGGATTCAATCCTTGTTGTTTCCCTTGTGTGTTCATGAATGGATGTTTAAATTGATATTCATGTTGATGTTTCTTCCTTCACTTGATATCATGCCCTAATCTCTCATGTCTACTCCTTTGAGTTATGATTTGCATGCTTGTTTTGTATGGCAATTGATTGTGTATGAATGTAGTACATGACTTGACTCTTTGTGCTCTTTCTTTGAACATTAAAATGAGTTGAATATGATATGATATTGCTACTGCCCTACCCTATTTATAATCTCATTTGACTTCATCTCTCTTTGCTTAATAATTGTTATTTCTTCTTGATGGATTCTAAGTCATTTGTATGTGTGTGGGCACTTTGTTTTATCGTTTTGTTTTGATTTCAAATCTTTGGTTTTGGTTTGACATGTGAATACATCCTTGTTGCTTTGACATGATGTTAATGTTTACTTTGTGTGATTGAGATTGATATTTGCTTGATGCTTTTTTTTTTAGTTTGAACTTTCATATTTGTTCATAATATTGCATCTTCTTCATTCTTCTTCTTTTTAACACCGCAGACAATTGTGTAAAACTTTTATCCGTCCATATACTTTTTCTCTTCAGATAAATTTTTTTAACACCGCAGAAAATTGTGTAAAACTTGTACACCCCGTATATAAAGGCGCATCCTAATCACTACATAAAGTATCATAAATATGTGTTTTCCTAAAAGAATATTCTCCAATATCAGAGATCATATTTTCTAGTCGATAATCCATATCTTCATCAACTTCATGTCTTTGTGGCGTCACATTTTGATTTTTATCTACTTCACCATGCCACGTCCATATTTTATAATTTTGAAAATTTTCATCACAACATAGGTGATGGAATATTTCTTTCTTTTAAATTTTTTTAATATCATGGACACTAGAAGAGATCGTTATTGTTAAAAAGATTTTGTTTCGCGTATTCAAGGAACTCAAGAACATTTTTCTCATACGCCATACTTAATCTATCAGTTTTCATCCAACTACGATCCATAATAAATTTGGAAATTTATATCAAAAGCATGTAAAATCATTTAATAATACAACAATAGAATAAGAATGAAACAATCTCAATATCATTCAATCACAACAATATAAAAACAAACTCAATATCACACAATCATAACAACACTAATGTGAATGTCACACTAATGCTACACACACAACATACTAATATGGTTATTTACATCAACACTCTCACATATACTTGCAAATACCTACATTCCTCAACATACTAGAAGTTCATTCACAACTTACTGATATGGTTATATAGAACAACACTCTCAGATATGCTTGCAACTACCTACATTCTTCAACAAACTAGAAGTTCATTCACAACATATTAATATGGTTTTATTATCGATTCTCATTCACAGTAATATAATATTTAACAACACCAAAACCTAAAACTCAACATGAATGGTGATAAAGGTGACGAAATAGAGAACATACCATAAAATGAAGATGAGGAAGATACCATGAAGAGGAATCCCAAAATAGTTTCTTGAAGTTTGGACGTTCCAAGAAATGAGCGAGAGGAACGCATGATGAAGTTTAGATCGATTTTGATTTCGTCTGTTTAACTATCACTATCGCTTTCATTTGTTCTTTGCTAGGGAACTTATGTTATAAAAGAAATAAACTAAATCTCATATCTTTTAATTCTTAAGAAATATATTTTCTCACGTTGTAAAGACCAACTGTAGTGAAACATATTAATTTTAAGGAACAAACAACCATGACTCCCAATAATAACCGTAGTGAAATATTTTTTAATTAAGGGACGCACCCAGTTTTGTATCAAAAAAATTAAAAGTTATTGGTGTTGGAATTCAAAGTCTGTATGACTTACAATATAACCACAATTATTAGCAAAGAAACCAAACGCCTAAACAACAACTATTACTTCAGTTGACTGAATAATCGAAGTGATAACATGTTAGTTAGGTATATACAATACTAAAAAAACTTATAATCACGATTGTGAAAGCCCTATAATCAGGGTTGAGCAACGATAGTGAGAGAGTGTGTGGTTGTAAGTAGACTATTTACAACCACAGTTTATTGTCCATGATAATAAATTAGAAAGCGCGCTACATATAACTACGATTGTATAAACAACTATGGTGAAAGGTCAATCAACACAATTTTTCATTTTTGCCATATGTTTTGCCTAACTACAATAATAATTTTCGTTACAATATAAAATATTAAATATTTTTAATAAAACAAGAACAACAAAAACAAAAATAAGAACAATAACAATAATAACAACAAAAATAAAAATAAAAAGAAGAGCATCAAAATAAATAAATAAAAAAGGTCATAATTATATATCTCCAAAATATCTTAGATCCCATTCTTAGAGAAAAATCATAATTACTGTGTGTTGAAAATTCATAGTATGTTCTGTCACGAATGAGACTCGTGTAGACCACTTATGTTTGTGCTTCAACTTCATTTTTCTACTTAAATACAGTAACACAACCCTACACTTCCCTTGTCTTAACTCTCTTTCCAAACTATGGGAGAAGAAGCACAAGAACTGCAACTTCACCAAATAGGTATGTCACTTAATTCTTGTTTCAAAAACACAATGACCTCTTAATTATCCTACGAAATTGTATTTTTCTGACAAAAATATCTTTCTTTTGTTATATTGTTTTATTACTATGTTCATGTGAACCTTATTGTCTGGTTATGATAATTATCAAAGAAACTGATGAGCTAGACATAAACAAAGTGCCAAGATGTTACAAGCACATGTGAATATAACATCTTTGTCCAATATCTAACTTCATGTATTGAACAATTTGTCTGAATTTTGTAGATACTAATGAAGCCAAAGTAACATTTTAGTTAGAGGAAAATAACTTTCCAGATCAAATAAAGAATGAATCAATTATGACGAGAAAAAAAAGTAGATATTATTTCAAGATAGCCATTTATAGGGCAGTCAGCTGCAACACTTATTGGAAGATTGTATTATGAAAAAGGAGGAAAGAGTAAATGGATGGCAACAGTTGTTCAACTTGCTGGTTTCCCAATTCTATTACCTTATTATTTTTTCATCTCATCAACTAAAAAACTCACCAAAAATAAAAATAATAACATCATTGATCCAATTCCAAATCAACCACCTGTTTTCATGCTAGCTTTTGTCTATGTCTCAATTGGTCTATTTGTTGGATTAACTTGTTACTTATTTTCATTTGGGCTGTTATACCTACCTGTCTCTACTTTTACACTTATTTTCTCATCACAGTTAGGTTTCAATGCTTAATTTGCTTATTTCCTGAATTCACTCAAGCTCACACCTTGCATAATAAACTCCTTAGTCCTTCTAACAATTTATTCTTCCCTCCTTGTGTTCCAAAGCGAGTCATCGAATTCCACAAATGTTTCGAAGAATATGTACGTGATTGGATTCATGTGCACTTTAGCTGCATCCGCAGGGTACGGATTGATCCTTTCGCTTACACAACTAGCTTCCAAGAAGGTTGTGAAGAGTGAGAGTTTTAAAGCTGTTATGGATATGATAATATATCAGTCACTGGTAGCTACTTGTGTTCCTCTAGTAGGAATTTTTGCAAGTGGAAAGTGGAATTGTATAGAGAAAGAAATGGAAGAGTATGAGTTGGGGAAAGCATTCACAGCAATAGGTTGGCAAGTTTTTAATATTGGTTGTGTTGGACTTATTTTTGAGATTTCATCTCTATTTTCGAATGCTATAAGTGTTGTGGGTTTGCCTATTGTTCCTATACTAGCTGTGGTTTTCTTTCAAGACAAAATGCATGGGATTAAAGCCATATCTATGGTGCTAGCTGTTTGGGGGTTTATATCTTATATCTTTCAGCAGTATTTGGATGAAAGAAACGGCTATGCAGAAAAGAGAAACACTCGTCGCGTTACACAAGGTACTTCACCTGTAGAAATGGATGATTGTGGACACAGGTTAACCCAATAATCCGGAGAAGAAGAACTAATTCAATATGTAAATTTTAAAAATTGAATTTGTTCATATCATTGGTTCATTTTATATTGTTGTGAACCATATATGTTTAGTTAGTATATTGGGTTAAGAACTCAAACCAACATGAATAATGTTGTTTGTAATTTTCTTTTTTATTTTGTTTTAGTTTTAATCATTTAAAAATAAATCAAAATGTTAATAAATTCCACAAAAATACTTAAATGTGTTAAATAACTTTTGTCCTGGTTCAGGTCATTTTGGTTTGATTTTTGTGCCATTTTTGTTGACCCTCGATTCTTCCATTTCAAAGTGGTACACCTTATGGACTTATTTCCTTTGGTGGTGCTTTGAGGAGACATTACCTTTGTGCTTTTGGCCTCTAGTTACCAACTCATTTGTGATCATTTTAGATTTTATTTGGATTTAATTGAGCCTTTTTCCTATTTTTGAGATGATTTACAAGTTAAGTCATATCTAAGGGAGGTTCACACAAGTACTTGACCTAGTTTGATTTGGAAATGACCTTTGTGGATCCATTGAACTCCTAACTATTATTTACCCATCTTGTCAACATATTGAGGTGTTTGGATGTTCATTTTTAGGTCATAAATATGTTCATTTCTTGTGGAGAATTGCATTTCTTTTTAGGCTTTCCACTTGTGCTTTAAGTATTGAACATGCTTAAGACTTAGGTCTTTTGCCTTGCCTATCTTTGCATTTTCTTTTGTGATTTTATTTCTTTGGTTTATGGAAATTCTCTTATCATCCATACCTCTGTCCAATGACTTTGGGATCCCATTTGAGATAGCTTAGTCCCTCCTTTGGAGGTACTTGAAGCATGTCATGAATGGTGCTTCCTTGAGGACTTCTTTTGTTTGTTTCTTGCATAATCATTGAGTTTGCTTATGGTTGAGTTGCCCTTATGAGTTACATTGGTTCTCATATTGCCTCCCATGATCTCATTGGTTTGTGTCCTCATTTCTTTTCATTTGGGTTACCTTTGGGCATTGTGGTTGATGTTTGAATGGTGGTAGGATTTATTCTCTCATTTTCATCCCATTGTTGTGTGCAATTGTGTGCTTTACTTTGGATTGTTTCTTCTTTGCTTTTGCATTCCTCCTTGCATTAATAAAGGTTGAGATGTGCTTGTGGAGGTGTTTACCCCACACTTTTTCCTCCCTTTTCTTGTGTGTTGCATTGCATATGCATACTTGCATCTTTTTATTTCATGCTTCTTTATTCTTCTTCTTTCTTCTTTGCCATGTTCCCTTAGGACCTCTAATCTCCTTGTTTAAGGATGATTATGATATACCTTAGGGCTTAAACCATGTATGATAACATTATGTAGCATTCTCTTTTACCTCAACTATAGATACACTTCGCATGAGAACATTAGGTTGAGTCTTAGTCTCCCTTAGAGTGTCTTTCTCTTCTCATATTCAAACATCTTCAAAACACTTAATAAAGGTTAAGGATTGTTGTACGTTATGAGCCTTAAGTACTTGGGAATTGGTGATTGGGGGCCTCCTCCCAATTATCTAGAGTGTTTAGCATATGTCCTTTAGACGATATGCGACGCATTCGCTCCTAGTGTAAGTACAGAGTATGCCTAAGAGGGGGGGGGGGGTGAATTAGACTTTTAGGGACTTTTTCCGGTTTTTCGATATTCTTGAAATTTTACTGGTTAGGTTCTTGGTGATGAATGCAGTAGAAAGTAAAAGGAAAGTGGACACCAAGATTTATAGTGGTTCCCCTCACAATCCGAGAGTACTCCACTCCCCTTTCAACACGAAAGAGAGTTTTCACTATTGTTTAATAAAGTACAACCTATCACACCATCAACCGGTGAGGCCTACTATCAAACAATAAAAATCAACAAGTGTACAAGAACAATCCTCTTGTAAACACTCACCCTTGTGTCCAACAATCCTGGATCACAAGTCAAAATACAAGTAATCTGAATACTTTGATTTGAGAGTAATAATGGTAATATCAATGCTGAGATTGATCTTCTCCTTCTGATCAAAATTCACTCTTTTAATTTCAACACAAGTGTTCAATGCTATGCATATGAAAAGATATGATCAATATGAACACTTTTGAAAAGATTTGAAAAGTATTTGAAAGTGGTGAATTTGATTCAAAGAATGTTTTGAAAATGATTATTGGAGGTTGTTTTTCCAATTTGAAAAACTCAGAATTTATATGTGTAAACACACCTTTTCCAACAGGTATATTTGAGTATAATTCAAAATATGAACTGGTATAATATTCAAACCATTTTTGAACTTGAAACAAAGCCATTTTTCAAAACACGTTCAGTGTTAATCGGTTAACCTATATGGTTAATCGGTTAACATTGGAACGTTATACCAGAATATTTAAAATTTGAAATGGTTAACCGGTTAACCTATATGGTTAATCGGTTAACACTGCTATTTTTCAGAAAAATACTTATAAAAACAATGTTATACCAATTCTAATAGTTTAAAAAATATGTTTATGCAATGTGATCAAATGATGAAGATGTTGAACACTTGTATATCAATTAAATTAATAGATTTTGATATACCATAGCTTGTGTCCAAAACTTGAAAGTTAATCAGTCAAATGTTCATGAAGCTTTGAATGTTGATCACTTCCATTCCACTTGATCTTGGTCATTTGAAAGCATTTGCCTTTTTGCACAGATGAAATATTCTTGATCTTGATGTTGACGTCATCAAAACTTTGAGATGAAGCTTGCTTCTACAATCTCCCCCTTTTTGATGATGACAACCAAAATGGTCTTGTGCAATTTTTGACGATGATTAGCAATGATCTTATTTTCTCCCCCTATGTCCATGAACTCCCCCTATCGAATACATAGGCAAAAATTCTGCGCACATAGACATAAGAAAGCCAAAGCTCTTCTCCCCCTTTGTCATAAGCAAAAAGGAAGGAGCTTTCAAAAAAGAAAACTAGACAGACCAATAATGCAAGCAATCACAAGAGTATGGAAGCAAAGCATAATGAAATTAAACGGCAGCAATGCTGCAAATATTGTACGAGTTACAATGCAAAAAATAAAAATTGAGTTCAAACATAAATGGAAGCATAAAACATCAAAAACTAGAAAGCAATGCAATAAAAGACATCAACAGCAACATATTCTCTAAAGATCCTCATCAGGCATATCCACATCATCTTCTTCCTCTTCTTCACTACCATCCTCTTCTTCAATCTCTTCGTCCACAACTCGGGGGTTGGAATGTGGAGGGTTAAGAATAAGGTTTCTGAGGGAGGCAATGGCTCGGGAGGTCTCTCTATGCATATTCATTGACTCTCTATGCTGGTTCATCATGGTTGTATAGAGAAACTCACTTGTAAGACCCCCTTCAGGAATTGGATACGCTTGATGGACAGGACCGTCATCGGCATACCTGTAGGTACCGTCAGCCGCTTTGATAATACCAGTATTTTTGACAATGTTAATCTCATTGATCTCATTAGTTATAGGTTTCATCTGGGAGGACGGTTCCCTGTTGAGGTCTAGTTCGGTTAATTCCAGAATTCTCGAAATCAACTGAGCATACGGTAACCGTGTGATGCACTGAAGTTGCTGCTGCAGATGATACATGATGGTCAGAATCCAATTGACCCTTATGCGGTTCTTGATTGCATACAAAAGTTTCATCTCTAAGTCATTAATCTGAGAGTGGTTGGAATCCTTTGGAATGAAGACATAGCAGATAATGTAATGAAGCATTCGATCAGAAACCGTCAGATTCTTGGCATAGCACAACATACGAGCGGTGCGAGAGTTTGCAATAACTGTTTCTTTCGGGAACCTGCAAATCTGATAGTAATACTCCATTTTATCATAATTTTCCCAAGGTCCATCCACATGGTTTACACCTTTCCTCAGGAAGCAGCCTTTTGATGGAATCTTAAGGTGTCTAGCAATGGTAGATAATTTTTCAACAAACTCATGGTCTCTAATGGTGGAACTGATCATGTGGTTCTCATTAATGTCCAGATATACAGCCAACTTACTCATAAAAGCTTTAACAAGATCAGGATAAATAATACCAGAGTCGGTGACGAACTTGTCGATGCGCTGATATTCCAATAGTGTAGGAAAGTCAAAAGAAATTGCAGGAAAAGCTCGAAGATTTACGTACTTTACCGGCAAAAGTTGACGAACACAAACTTTGAAATTCGTGCGCCTCTTTTTGGTGGTTTCCATTGGAATGCTGTCGTCATCAGATTCTGATGCATACTCAGGAAGCTTTCCCTTTCCTTTGCGTGAGGATGCCATGGATGAAAGTTTGAGAGAACTGAAGTTGTGGGTTCTGAGGAAGTTAGGGTTTGAGAAGTTGTGGGGATGGTTATGAGGAGTTATCCAACTTTAGAGAGTGGGAGAGAGATAATGGGTTTTTAAAACTTAGGGTTTGAAGAGGAAAGTTCCAAAAACTCTTTAAGAGGGAATAGGATTTTGGATATGGATTTTGGACACTTAAGAGAATATGGACCACATAAAAAATGCATTTATCATATATAATATTTTCAAATTTTTAATTAATTTTCGTTTCTGATTTTTAGAAAATTTAACAGTGTTAATCGGTTAACCATATAGGTTAATCGGTTAACACATTAAAAAATTGAGTCAGAATTGAAAATTTAACAGTGTTAATCGGTTAACCCATATGGTTAATCGATTAACACACTCGAATTTTTGAAAAATACTTAAAAACAGAATGCATACACATGAAAACACAACACAAATAATGCATACACATATTAGAGCAAAAGTTCAGATGTCACCTTCATCAAGAATCCCAAGTTCTCGCCGAATTTTGTAGAATGGTTCTTTCGCCAAAGGTTTGGTGAAGATGTCGGCGAGTTGATTGTGCGTGTCGACGAAAGTAACATCTACATCTCCATTCAATACGTGATCTCGAAGGAAGTGATGCCGGATATCTATATGTTTTGTTCTTGAATGCATGACCGGG